ATTTAAACGTAAGACATGACACCATAAACCTCCTAGAAAAGAATATAGATAAAACATTCTCTGACATAAGTCATAGCAATGTTCTCCTACAGTAGTCTACTGAGGTAGTAGAAATAAAAGCAAAAACTAACAAATGGGATCTAATTAAACGTATAAGCCACGCACAGCAAAGGAAAGTATAAATAAAATGAAAAGACACTCTATGGAAGGGGACAAAATATTTGCAAATAATGCAACTGACAGGGGTTAATTTCCAGAATACAAAATAACTCAAACAGCTTAATAACAAAAAACCAAACAACCCAATCCAAAAATGGGCAGAAGACCTCAACAAACATTTCTCCAGTGAAGACATACAAATGGCTGATAGGCACATGAAACAATATCACTAATTATCAAAGAAATGCAAATCAAAACTACAAGGAGGTATCATCTCATACCAGTCAGAATGTCCATCATTAAAAAGTCCACAAATGATAAATGCTTGGGAGGGTATGGAGAAAACAGAACTCTCCTACATTGTTGGTCGGTAGTGTAGTTTGGTGCAGCCATTATGGAAAACAGTATGGAGATTCCTTAAAAAATTAAAAGCAGACTTAGCATATGGTCCAGCAATCCTACTCCTGGGCACATATCTGGAGGGAACTCTAATTCTAAAAGATACATGCATCCTAATGTTCATAGCAGCACTATTTACAATAGCCAAGACATGGAATCAACATAAATGTCCATTGACAGATGACTGGATAAAGAAGTTGTGGTATATTATACAATGGAATACTACTCAGCCATAAAAAAGAACAAACTAATGCTATTTGCTGCAGCATGGATGGACCTAGAGATTGTCATTCTAAGTGAAGTAAGCTAGAAAGAGAAAGAAAAATATCATATGATATAATTTATATGTGGAATCTAAAAAAAAACACAAATGAACTTATTTATGAAATAGAAACAGACTCAGAATTATAGAAAATAAACTTATGATTACCTGAGGGGTAGGGGGGTTGGGGTGGGAAGGGATAAATTGGGAGCTCGAAATTTGCAGATACTAACTACTATGTATAAAATAGACAAACAACAAGTTTCTTCTGTATAACACAGGAAATATATTCAATATCTTGTAGTAACCTATAATGAAAAAACTATAAAAATGAATATATGTATGTACATGTATGACTGAACTATTATGCTGTACACCAGAAATTGATACAACATTGTAAACTGACTATTCTTCAATTAAAAAAAATTAAGGCAAAGATTGCTGAACAAGATTAAGTAAGTTGATATTTTATTTCTTATTTTTAATATATTCAATGAATTTCATATATTTTGACAGGATTATAATTTCTGCAAATGATCCAAAATGATCCTCCCAAATTTCAATCTATATCCACATTCATCAGGATCAAAGACATTAGCACATATAAATATTAGATTCTACTATACTTTTCAACTCACCACAAATTTAACTAAATCATGTATCTGTCATTATGTAATAAAGAAATAAGCATATTCATAACATATATCTGGATGTTTTACTTTTATGTTAAGCCATTTATTTCTTGTTCAATGTCCCTAGATATATTTCATTTGAGATTTAGTATATTCATCATAATTTCTAATATGTATCTGTGCCTAAGAGGGAATTACAAATTTCACATGTTCCAAGTATTGGAGCAGAAACATGAGTTGCAAAATAAGTAACTGAGGTGTGGATAACATGAGACTCTCCTACACCAAAAGAGGAGAGGATTAAAAGTTAATTTTTGGTAGTTACTAATTATTTTGTAAGATGCTTATGAGAATACTTTGCAATAGTCATATTCATGCAGGGTAAGTTGGCTAGTGTGTACTTTATAGATGGGTAAGCTATATGCAATTTGCAAGGACAAGCAATCTCATAAGGACATGGTCATGAAGAAAATTCATTGGCAGAGACTCCTTACTGTTCTAACCTATTTCATCACTGTGGATACAGTTTGAAAATTTATTTCTATGTATATGAATGCAGCCCAGTATTTTCTACAGGATGTTTAAATAGATACCAAGGTGTAGAGTTCTAGAAACTTGAATATATGCTTCAGACATCTGGAGCTATACATATGGGGAATATACAGCTGTGTTTATTTCAATGATTACACATTTACATGCATACAATGCATTTATCCAAATGTGTAATCTCTTATATATATGAGAATATTCCAACAAATGCATTTGCTGTACTTATTTGAATAAGCAATTGGAAAAGGATTCAAATAAATAATTCACCACTTTTGTTTAAATCTTACAGTATGTATTTATATTATGTATTTATTAATATACAATCAGAGCACTTTTTAGTGTAGAACCAACTATTTTTAAAAGATTAAAGAAACATAATGCGGATCATGAGTCATACAAACCAAGACTTTTTTGTATTGAGGTTTAATAGCTAGCAAACTTTCAGAAGGAGGTGGAAGTCCAGCAGGACAGAGAATAAAATCACTTGTGATTGGAATGTGTTTCTTTTATTCCAACTAGTTTTTCACAGTATAGTGGCCATTTTAATTGAATCTCAAAGCACTTGTCCAGAGGCTTTGTTTTTTTTTTGTTTGTTTCTTTTCTTTCTTACTACCATATCTGACAAGATACACACTTCTGGATTATGCTATAATATAGAACGCAAAAGTATTTTATTATTTTAAAGCTACACACATGTAAATCTGGTTAAGAGTATTACGACAATCTCATTTAAGTCTACCTTTATTTCTGGAACAGAGACTGGAGACCAACAAAGGACTTAAAAGCACAAAAAAATAACATTACATTTTAGCTTCAGTTCCTGGAGATATTTTAGGAGATTAGGGAGAAGCTTCTAGTTAGTCTATTTATACTTGTCTCAGTTCTATTGTATGCTGTTTCCTTTCTCAAGGTTTTCATTTGTTTGTTTATTTAAGGATATGATGGGCTGGCCTAGAGGAAAGTAACTCATACTTACGTAAGAGAAAAATTAAATTGGAAATCGCATAAATTCTTAAAAGAAATTTAAATTCATTTTACCACAGTGTAAAAATAATAACTATAGGCACTTTTTCATTTGTGGAATGAGTGAATAAATGTCACTCTCAGCCTTAGTTTCATCGTTCATAGGCTGTGAATAATAACATCTCTCATTGAGTGTTGTGAGGATTATGTAAGGTATAAATCACTCAGTTGTCAAATGCTTTCCGAACAATGACTAGTAACAATATTGCGTTCCAATTTTCTAGATGTGAAAACTGGGTACCTGGACATACTGCCAAAACTTGGTTGTTGGTCAGGTTTCAGGAATCACCTTTCCCATTTTAACTGATTAATCTGTTTAAAGCTTGACTGCGCAGACAACATTGTTTTCACAGACAGTTCATCCTTCCACCCAGGGATGCTCCCCTGAGAGTCTGGATGGGGAGAGGAGTTCAATAAGCAGAAGAACTTACTTTTGTGTTTTATGTTTACAAAACAAGTCACAGCCCTTATTTCCAACTTCTACAGTCAGTTTGTGAGACAGGTATTAGAAGCTTGGCAATCACGTCGGAAGGAGGGAGAGGCCACTCACCGGGCCCGCGCGTTTCCGTCCTGGACCCGCGCAGAGCGGGAGAGAGATCGACCAATCGGCGCGCAGCTTGGGGGCTGGTCCCGCCCCTCTCGGCCGAGCCCCGCCCCTCTCCCGTACCGCCCTCAGGGAGTAGGGGTGTGCCGCAGGCTCGTCCCGCCCCCTCCTCTGAGTGACAGGACCGTGGACAGCAACAATTCCAGCCCGACACGTAGTTTGTGGGCCCTTGCGCTGGCTGAGCTGAGGTGTGTGTGTCCGGCGAGCGCGAGGGGGCTGGGGAGGCCCTGCCCGGGAAGCTCGGGGTCCGGGACTGAAAGCGGGTGCACCTCCTCAGAGGGCCCCCAGTGCGTTTAGGGGATCCTCGATCCGCCCCTGGGAGCGGCCTTGGGGGCGGGCTGGGCGGAGGGGGCTCTGGACGAGGAGGAACCCGGAGCCTGGGAAGCCCAGCAGGTTCGGTGACGGCCTAGGGACCCCTTCCCGGCGAGCAGGGAGCCCCTGTGGGGGAGGGGACGGCGGGAGCGGGATTCCGGCGGTGGGTGGGCGTGGCCGCCGCGGTTGCTAAGGAACGCGCGGTTCCCGCCCTGCCAGCGTGTCTGGCGCGGGCTGCAGGGCCTTGGAGACTTAGTCCCACCCGCCTCCCCAGGCCTTCCACGAGCCTAGGGATTGGCTTCCTTGCGCTGTCAGTCAATTCGCGTCTGTAATTGCACTGTCCTGCTCTTTGGGTCTGTAGCTGGCGCTCAGGCCTCCCTCTCTCCTGTTACTCCTCTCTACACTTTTCGCGCCTCCCCTTCTTAAACGTACAAGTATCTGCAGACCAAAACACTTGCGGGGAAGGGCTTCAGGCAGCATGAGGTGGCTGCGGGGGTTGGTTGGGGAGGATGCCTTTTCCTGGTGCTTGGTGAATCCTTGAACCCACACGGTGTCGGTGTCCACGTGAAAAACTAGGAAAAGGAGGATAGGAGATCTGATTTCTTCCACCCGGAGTTCTTTTTAATCGCTGCTGCCAGTTTGACTCAATGAACTTCTCCGGAAGTTGAGGCAGTTCATTATTGGACAGGCCCAAATACATGATCTTTTAAGTCCCTATTGTGGAGAGGGGTGGTACGAAGCGTATAAAGCCCTCTTTTGCTTCACTGGCCCATATTTAATGATTAACTATGAGGTGGTAGCCACAGATAACCATTTCGGATCTCTGCCCCAGTCAGCTGGCCCCAAGTGATTGAGCAGAAGCGACATTCCAGAGAGAAAACACAAAGGGAGCTGAAAGTCTGCTGTTACTTCCTTCTGCTAGGTTTACTGTGTAAATTCCCCAAGAAGGAAGCTTGTACTGCTTGCTAGCACTGGGAATATGGCCTAGAAGTCAGGAATCTGGCAGAGTTAGGAAATATTTGTCCCTGGGCAATAACCCTTATAACTGTTCTCTCATCTGTAAAGTGGAACATACTTAACGTGCCTTTTATTTATAAAATGTAAGGAGTAATAATTGACTGTGAAAGTGTTACGAAAGTATGATCCACACAGTTGTAAATATGGACTACAATATTAATCTATCGTTTAGTCTTATATGATCTGTTGATTCTGTGTGTGTGCTGGTTAGGTAGTACCTGAAATGTCTTGCACAACATTTATTTTTCCCCATTGACATCACTAGGTTTTTTCAAGTATATACATAGCCTGAAAAAATTGGGAAGGATTACCTTCTAATTCAACGATGAATAACCTTTTTAGTGTCATATACCACTTTAAGAAGCCAAGGAAAGCTATAGACTCTCCTCTTAGAAAAAGACAGGGTTAGAAGCATATGTGGATAAAGAACACCTGTTTTCTTCCATCAACTTCTTGAGGGTTTAAGGAAATTACTCTCCCAACTTGCCTCATTCCAAAGAGTGACTGAGTAATTTATATCCAAAACTCCTTGGCTGGGAGCAGAGTTGTCTTTTTTCTTTCTTCCACAAGGCATCTTACCATAGTTTACCTTAGTTCAAGGTCTTCAATCAACCCTTCTTCTTTTTTTGGTTTTTAACAAACATGAACTAGCAATCCTCAATAAATTGCTACAGTCTTTCAAAACCATGTAAACCCTATTTTATTCCAAATGCCCTTTGATCGGTCTCTTAAAGAATACTCTGATATTTAAGCAAGTGAAAAGAGAAATTATTATCAAATGTTTTGGGAAAATGTTAAATCGTATTTTTGAGATAAATATTAAATATGTAAACTTTCTCTTCTATCAAAGTCCATTTTGGACCAAGAAAAATTGATTACTTGTAGTATGTGCCAGTAGAATATTAATTATTCCTAGAAATCTTTCCTTTAACTTAAGTGAATGATCTTTTATAACATTTTAATTTCCTGTGGCGAGAGAATATTGCGTTCAGTTCCACTTTGGCTCTTTTCCTGATTTCTGTATTAAAATGGAAGGCTGTAAATAGCATTCTTTTGTTTGCTAATGTACCTTTATCTAGCTTTATCAATAAAAGTGGGCGTCAGTAGTAGATACTATCATTAGGTAGAGAAAACATTGAAAAAGGAAAAATATATTTCTTTTGTAATAAACATCCGAGTATCTAGGAACACCTGTGGTTTCTTTAGCACTTGTAATTTTATTCCAACTGTTTAGTGTTCGACTCACCCATTTTTTCCTCGACTCACTTCATTTCTAGTGGAGAAACTAGAATAAAGACAAATTGATTAGAGAGAGAATTCTAATGGAATTAGAGTTTTTAGGGGCTCAATAAATAATAGCTCTTTTCTTCTCTTGAGTTTGTAAAGAGGCAGATGGAGTCTGCAGTGTCAGCTTCATCACTAGAAAGCTGACTGGATACAGTGCCTTCAGTGAGAGACCAAAAACGAGTGCCCGTACTTCCTTCTCCCTTCTATCTCCACCCCCTTTCTCAGAACCTAGACTTCAGTCCAGTGAGAGAAAGTTTCAGTTTGCAGAACAGATGCACTTACTGAGAGCTGCTGGTCTGGATGATCCCCAGCAGAGAGGGAGGAAAAAGAAGACATACCTCTAGTGTTCACAGCTTTATAATAGGTTATCTCTACCCACTGGAATAATAGGGAGCAATGGAGTTCAGCCATGGACCACTCAACTCCTCTGCAGGGAAGCTGTGGATACAGAGTGGGATGTGAGGCCAGGGCTGTTAAACTAGGGCTCTTGTCTTTATCTGGTTGGTATCTTTGGGCCATTAGAAATGTGTAGGGTGTTCTTAAATTGTTATAATATCTTGAAGTGATTGGCTTTTAGGACGCTGAAGTTTAAGGATGCTAAATATTGTATATTGTAGAAGTCCACCAGCACAGTGAAAAATTTCCTTCCCCTATTCCAATGCCAAAATCATCTCCAAACTATCCTAGGGGAAGTTCCTCTGTCTGGAAACATGAGACCAGGCCAGATTTCCCCTAGTCTTTGTTCATATGTACCATTTTTTTTCTTTTTTTCTTTCTTTCTTTTTGTATTTTTAAATTGAAGTACAGTTGATTTAAAATATTGTATTAATTTTAGGTATAGAACATAGTGATTCATAAATTTTATAAGTTATGCTCTAAAGTTACTGTAGAACATTGGGTATCTTCCCTGTACTGTACAATATATCCTTGTGGCTGATTTATTTTGTACATACTAGTTTGTACCACTTCCTCTCCGACTCATATCTCGCCCCTTCCCCTTGCTATCTCTCCCTTGGTAACTGCTAGTTTGTTCTCTGTGAGTCTGTTTCTGTTTTGTTATATTCATTCATTTGTCTTATTTTTCAGATTCCACATATAAGTGACACTACACAGTGTTTGCCTCTCTCTGTCTGACTTATTTCACCAAGCCAAATACCCTTGAGGCCCATCCATATTGTTGCAGATGGCAGAATTTCATTCTTTATGGCTGAGTCATATTCTATTGTAAATACATACCCCATCTTCTTTATCGATTCATCTGTTGAATATGTACCATATTTTTGATATCAATAGATTTGGCTCTAAGTGTGGAGGTCTTAATAAAAATACTGCTTAGATGATAGTTATTTTTTGTTATTCTCTCAGAATGACTAAAATGATATTCATGGAAAATAGTGACACATAGTTTATCATATTTGATCGCCTTAAGATTGAACATATCCTTACTGAAGATATGAGGATCATAAGGTCCTACAGCTAAATCTTTTCACATCTAGTGTATACATTTAGTCCTTTCTTATATGGCAGAAGTATTAAGGTATCTTTGCAACAACAGAGTGAGATAGGTATATGTTTTCATGAAAAAGAAAAGAATGACTTCTTAGCTTATGTTTTAGTTTTGAATTGTTAAACAACAAAAATAAAAAGATAAGTGCTCTCTACTCAGTGCTTTAACAAACTCTGTTTTGTTCAATCAGAAGGTGGAGAAAGTTCCATAAATGAGAGGGTCTTGTTAATTGCATGGTTTTCAAGCCATTGAACACGGAGAATGACAGCAGAAATAAAGCTGCTTGATTCTTCCATAGTAGTATTGTGCAAGTGACATAGCTGCAAAAATAGACCAATTAGATTGAGCAACTTAAAATTTTGGACCAAGGGAAGATAGTTTAGTCCAAAAAGCATTTTTTACATACTTTGAATTTAAAAATATTCAGTTATTGAGAGATGTAGACGAAGAAATTATGTGACTACCTGTGACAAAATCCTACTTTATAACCTACCCCAGGTAGCAGGTGCACTGCACTGAAAGTCTTAGACTTGGCTCTGGCAGTAGATGTACTGTTTGTTGGGTTTGCGAGAGTTCCCAAGCATCAGGTTCCTTATCTGTATGTAAATATAATGAGTTGAAGATTTGTGGTTTTCCTACCTTTTTTTTTTTTTCCTGGGGAATATTCTTTAGTATTATAAAAATTGACATTATTCACAGTGATTCATTATAGTGCTGAATCTTTCTGGGCAGGAGCATATTAAATTTTTTTTGTCCCTGTGCTATACAATAGGTCTTGTTTATCTATTTTCTATATGGTAATTAGCATCTGTTAATCCCACCTCCTAATTTATCTCTCCCCCACCCCCTTTCCCGTTTGGTAATCGTAAGTTGGTTTTCTATGTCTGTGAGTCTGTTTCTGTTTCGTAAATCAGTTCTTTTCTTTTCTTTCTTTCTTTCTTTCTTTTTTTTTTTTTTGGTCACATCCTTTCAATGACCCTGCTCAGTACAGGACAGTGCAGCAGGCAGCCGTGTGATGCCACATGCTGTCTGCAATCTGCCAGCCAAACTGGCCATGCTATAATA